CACTGTTGGGCAGGAAGGGGCCCCATGAGCCCAAAGAGGATCAGAAAGAGGAAGTGGGCTGAGGGAGACAGTGGGAAGGGAGGGTCAGAGGAGGGCAGTAACATGAAGAGAAACAGCAGTGAGCAAAATGTGTAGTTCCCTGTCCAGCGCTGCTGGGGGAAGCTGGCACAAAGTCCTGGCAAGTCATCGGAAGTTGCCAGGCAGAAAGTCAGGGCCTGCTGAGTGGTAAATCAAAACTTAGGCCTGGCATGCTCTCAAAGAGGGGATGCTTGTTTAGCCCTCAGAGTACACTAACCCTGCTCCATTTCTTCCCAGAGCTGCGGATAAAATCCAGCTTTGTCGCACCACTGGAAAAGTCATATGGGATCAGGCCCAGAGTCCTGACCGGGAACTCTCGCTTGGACCTCCAGGAGATTAACAATTGGGTGCAGGCCCAGATGAAAGGGAAAATCGCTAAGTCCACAAAGGAATTGTCCAGTGAAATCAGCATTCTCCTTCTTGGGGTGGCTTACTTCAAGGGTAAGGGATTCTCTACTTCTCTTTTGGGTGGATGGTGAGTGTCAGATAGGGTGAGAATAGGGGAAGTCAAAGACCTAATTCAATAAGATCTCAGCGGTAAAGCCAGAGGAGGAGCTGAGAAATGTACTTGCCTGAGGGCTATCTGCTGTCATCTAATCCAAGGCAAATGTCTGATAAGTGCCTAAGAAGTATGAGGCTTGTGGAGAGAAGAAAGCACCACCACTCTTGTGCCTGTTTGGGGCCGGGGCCCTGTTAGATTTCTGGCTGGAGTCAGACAAGGGACAAAGCCCAGCTCCACCTTTACTGGCTGTAGAGCCCTGCACAAGCTTCATAGCCTTTCTGGGCCTATTTTCTCATCTCTAACACAGGGACAATACACTTATTTCAGAGGCACCCTTTCTACATCTTCTCCCATCATACAAGCTCAGCACTGTTCCCAGGACATAGCAGGTACTCGATAAACCACTGTTAGTTCTCTAACAACATTCTTTTAGGCTGTGGTGATGTGCCCAAGACTATTCCACAGGTCCAGTGTGAGGCCAATCTCAATCAGATAAGTCTTGGGTAGGATTTTAGGCAACTTCCCCTTAAAATGCTTTATAACCGCCTATCAGGCAATAGCAAGAACCTAAACTCCTGGAGAAAAGCCCTACTTGAAGCATTGATCTCCAGGAAGTGAAAGAAGCAGTTACAAACCAGCATGTTAAAAGGTCACGTTAAACTAAGGGAGCTTGGTCATCACCTTGCTGTGTGAGCATTGGCAAGTCACTCCACCTCTCTGGGCTTCAGTGCTTTTTCAGTTATGAGAGGGGTGATGAGATGTCAGGTTCCCTTCCAGCTCTGACCTCCTTTGATTCTGTTTCCCAGATACACCACTACAGAAGCGTTCATGTTAACTTTTCTCCCAGGCATCACAGAATTTGTGTAATCCAGGTGGTCAAATCAATAACATCAAAATATTTCCTTCTGAATTTACCTATTCCCTGATGTGTCAGGGCCTCTGACAATTAAGAGTCCTTTAGCCAGGCAATTTTCAACAATATACTTTGGTCTCACCGGGTCCCAATGCCTTTCTGGTCTCCCGGGGCTCAGGGCACTCCATTTGTTTCATTCCAGGGCAGTGGGTAACAAAATTTGACTCCAGAAAGACTTCCCTCCAGGATTTCCACTTGGATGAGGAGAGGACTGTGAGAGTCCCCATGATGTCAGACCCCACGGCCGTTTTACGCTATGGCTTGGATTCTGATCTCAGCTGCAAGGTCTGTAGGAGAGGGATGAGTCGTGGGTGGGTGGAGAGGACAGACAGTGTGGAAACACCTTTGAGATCTGATAGCTGTCTAAATTTTGCCTGCTGTGTTACTTTAGGCAAGTGAACAGCTTCTCTGAGTCTTTTTTTCTTAAAGGTGGATAGTTGTCCAAACTTACCCTTTCAGGGTTTGTTGTAAGAATTAATAAGGAAATGGGAGATGGGCCTTCCAGATTGGGCACTCAAATGTTGGTGTTTTGTTGTCTTTCTTTCTTTCCTTCTTTCTCTCTCTTTTTTTTTTCCTTTGGTGGGGGGAGAACTTTTATTTCTAGAATTCAAAGACAAACTTTCAAAAACTGTCACAAACTCCAAACTGCTTACATTCTAAAATCTTTTAATTTTAAAAGAAGTCAGTAGTTGTTAACCTTTTTCTTTGGGATTCTGACAAAGCACCTGAAAACACTCAAAAGGAATGCCATCTAGGCACACACATGCATTTCTGTACATAATTTCAGGGGCTGTTGGGGCCCCTACCACCATTTGTCCCATGGACCTTAGATTAAGAACCTCTGCTCAAAGGATCCATTTTATTGCGGCTTCTGTGTCATTGTGCCCAACACTCCCATTTCTAGTCCAGGGCTCCATATGTAACAGATGATCAGTAACTGTTGGCAGATAAACCTTGGGAGGAAACAGACCTGGAATTCAATTCTAACTCCTTAGAACCACAGGAAAAAATTCTTTCATCAGATAACTTCAGTTGGTATTATGCCAAGATAAGAAAGGATATCAGTCAACTCTTTTAAGGAACATCAGTAGAGGTCTTGCTTCCAGAAAGCAATATCCTAGAGGGACGACTGTTGAATACATTAGGGGCTGGAGAAAGCAAAGCCAGGGCCCCACCATAAGAGAGAAGGCAGCTGGGGTGTGTGTGTGCGCGTGTGTGTGCGTGCACGTGTGCGCGCATGTGAACCTATACCTAGGCTCCTGGGCCCCAAAAGACTAACCCATGTGGTTTCTTTTTCCTCTGTTGTTACAGATTGCCCAGCTGCCCTTGACCGGCAGCATGAGTGTCATCTTCTTCCTGCCTCTGAAAGTGACCCAGAATTTGACCTTGATAGAAGAGAGCCTCACCTCTGAGTTTATTCATGACATAGACAGAGAACTGAAGACTGTTCAAGCAGTTCTGACTGTCCCTAAGCTGAAGCTGAGTTATGAAGAAGAAGTCACTAAGTCCCTACGGGAGACGAGTATGTCTGCAAGACCCCTTTGCTCTTGGGGTGGGTGGGGTTGAATCTTTGAGCCTTCTACCTTGCTAAGCAGAACTCAAAGGCTCCATGACTTTGTAGGAAGACTATCGATGAGTCTTTAATTCTAATACATAGTGTTGAAAGGGAGGATTGAACTTCCCTTCCTTATCAGACTCATTCCTTAGCCCCATGAGCATACATCCTATAACAGGAACTCAGAACACTGCCTCTCAAGACAGGTTTGTTGACCTGGTTTCTAATATTAACCTCGCTTGCTGTGTGCTCTTGAGCAAGTCATTTAACCCTTAACCAGCCCAGAGCCCTACATACCTCACAGCTTACTTACGTCCTTGAATCAGGAATTAAGATTTAGAATTGTATTCTTCCTTGGAGTGTTGGATAAGTCAAGGTTTTAATGGAAATCTCTCTCAACCTCTGCAGAGCTGCAATCCTTGTTCGATTCACCAGACTTCAGCAAGATCACAGGCAAACTTATTAAACTTACTGAAGTGGAACATCGAGCTGGCTTTGAGTGGAATGAGGATGGGGCAGGCACCATCCCCAGCCCAGGGATCCAACCTGCGCGCCTCACCTTCCCCCTGGATTATCACCTTAACCAACCTTTCATCTTTGTACTGAGGGACACAGACACAGGGGCCCTTCTCTTCATAGGCAAAATTCTAGACCCCAGGGGCACTTAATGCTCCAGTTTAATGTTCAAATACCCTAGAAGAAAACCCTAGAGGGACAGCAGATTATACATTACATGAAGGCTGCCCCTATAATGTTTCAATGTATACTTTGCAATAAAAGTGCTTTATCCTTAACTTTTGTTACCCTGTTCCTCCTCCTATTCTGAGCTATATTAAATTTAATATGAAGATAAATAACCTTTTAGGAATTTGCTGGTCCTGTACTTATAGCCTGGGCCTATCTAAACTCTGAAAAAAGTTACTATTTATAAGGACTTTTAGTTATCTGCATTGTATAAGGCAGGGACTGATTCTCTGCCCTGGAGTGTTTACACCAGGACCACTAATCCCCCTCGGAGGGCATTTGGTGCCTCCACAATCTTAAATAAACCAGACTTCAGGTTTTAATGAAAGCACAGATATGCACCTAGTCAAGCTAATGTCACCTGACAACACAGAAGGATAACACATGGACAGATAAGGGAGGTAATTTATAACTTCAGAATATAATTATTTTATAAAGCATTTAAAGAAAGCTCTCAAGTACACATAAAATGAGACTTGACATGTAAAAATTCTAAACATATTCCTTTTAAGGAAGTATGCCTATTTTACAAAGTACAACAGGACCTTTTTCAGGAACGTGAAACACGTCAAGTGTTTGGAACAGAATAACTACAAAATTATCCACAGGACAAAATTTTTCTTCTTGAAAAAGTTAGCTCTACCAAAGAAATCTCACTGGCCACTGCCTTGCCAGAGTGAGTTAGCAGAAAGGAAAACAAATGAGATTCTGCCGGCCCTTCATTCAAATGTTTGAGTACAAACTCTGTTCCAAATACTCAACTTCCTGAAAAGCTTCTGCCAGGAATCTTCAGGGCTATTCATTTCCTGATTATAATGCCGTGGCAACCAATGGGCACTTCTCATGCACAGTCAGGGTCGGCTACCTCTCAAAGCAGTGTGGACCTGGTGTTCTTTTCCACTATCTCATCTGAACCACTTGGCCACCAGGGTTCAGAGCCAGAGCGTCTCCCAGCCTTCTGAACAGAATGAGGCCTAAACTGTTGCTACACATCTAGGTAGAAGAGCACTATAACCCTTACCTCTGTCTCTTAAGTTTGAAACCACAAGCAGTAATGCCCTACCCTCAGCATCTTCTGAAGTTTTTTCCCTCCTTACTTGGTACTTATGCAATCTGTATTTTATTTGCCAGCTTGGGGAGGTCTAGTAGGAAAAAAGTCATCTCTTTTCAGGCTTGCTAATAAACAGAACTCAGACAGGAGGCACATGTGATAATAAAGTCATTGCTATAAGCTTGATTTTATTAGTATTTTGGTCAGTGAGTCTCCCAAGAGTACAGAATGAAAGCCAGATAATAAGGACTGGAAAACTGGCAGAAAACAAATTTAGAGTTGCCATCCAAGGAAAAAATTTCTCGACAATAGAATAGCCCCATATTTATTTTTCTATTCATATTTTATATTCCACCAGTTTTAACAAAGGATTTGAGGAAGCTAGATATCATAAATGAAACTGTGTCTCTAGAGGTAAGGAGCCTCGCTGATCTTGCTTTATAATTATTTTTCAATTACAATACAACTACTAAGAGTTTAAGCTCCCATTGGAGTGGTACACAACATTTCATTACTACTAGAAACCATAGGAATGTTCCAGGGAAACAGACTATCATCATTTAGTGAGGTGGCGTCTAGCCAAAACCCCAGGCTAACATCCAGATGCCTGCAGATGAGCTAAAATTCCTTTTAAAGGGCCTACGCTCTCCAGATACTAGTTTTAAGTCTTTTCTGAGAACTGGGAGTTTTTACTAGAGGACAGTTAACTATTTCAAGAAACATTCATCAAAATAATAGGTGAACATATCTCCAACTGCAATGCTTTCCAAGTCCTCCCCACTCCTCATATACTAGGCATGTGACTGTCAGGCAAGTCCTGTATTTCCTGGTGACAGCTCAATTGCAACAGAATCCCTCTAATTCATCTTCTACTGGGTCCTTTCTTGTGGATCAAAGTCTCCTTGGGACCCTACACTGAAGGCCCCACAGGGATGGGCGGCAAGTCCAATAAACAGGATTTCATCTTTTGTAGCTCCTGGATCTCGTCATTCCAAGGGCCATAGTGCACCAACAGAACCTTTTCTGCCTTTTGTATTGTGTTCAGAGCTTCAGGTATTGCAAACCTGAACCAAAGGAGATGAGGGGAGTGAATTCACTCATTCAGTCAAGCAAACCTTAACTGAGTGAGGGCCTACTCACACCCTGTGAAAAATATAAAGTAGAACATTTTTGTCTTCAAGGATCTTACAGACTAGAAGGGCAAATAAGAGAACTTTCACAAATACAATGCAAGGCAGAGTTTGAGAACCAAGTTATGAAAAAAAGTATAGTTTCCAGGATCCTGAGAAATAGGAAAATCTCAAAGCATTACTCATATATTTACCCCAAGGTTTACTCAGGAGTCTTCATCTTAGGGTAACCAAGTCAATCCCTGATCTAACCTCTTTGTCTCCTTCTCTGATCAAATGGACTGTCTCTATGTCTCAGGTACCAGGTCCACCCATCATTCATAATCATAGGATCAAGCTTCAAACACTTTCTCATACCAATATACACTAATGGCAGCTTTTTCAAGGCTGGAGGTATTCCATCCAGAAATACTGAAATTAGGGCCTCCCAATGATTTCAGCTGCAAAAGTGGATGAGGCATCAACTCATTACTTTTAACCTCTCCTTTTAACCTTCCATTTTACCTTTAAAGCATGGTTCTTTCCTTTTAACCTTTAAAGCAGGGTTTTTCAACCTTGACACCATTGACCTTTGGGGCTGGACAATTCCTAGCTGTAGGGGCTGTCCTGTGCATTGTAGGATGTTTAGCAGCAACTCTGGTCTCACTCTGAGTCATGATAATCAAAAATGTTGCCAGACATTGCCAAGTGCCCCCTGGGGGGCAAAATTACTCTTGGTTGAAAGCAACTGCTTTAAAAGGAACAGGACTAGGGAGAAGGGAGAGTCCCTGGAGCTGAGGGTGCTGAGAATGAGAGTGCCAAGGGAGTGTAACCAAGGAGGACTGAGAAGAACTGCTATGATGTGGGTGGTGGGGATGCTTGGCAGTTCTCCCTGGGAAACTCCCTTCAGAGCTAAGAGCTTTACTCATATCCCTCAGGAGGAAATTCTAAAGCTTCAAGTTTGTCAGCAAAACAGAAGGAAAGGATCTTAATGGGGAAATAAAGAAGTTTCAACATGCTTGAAAGCACCATAGAAAAAAAGTAATATACAGAAGAGCCTAATAAAAGATAGAACAGTATGTAGCCTGGCGAAGTGCTAGGAAACAAGAGAAAGACTTACCCATTGAAAAAGATTTGGGCCAGTTTGAAGAGCTCATGGCCCATTTCAACACTGGATGGCCCATGGCGAACCTCAACCACGTGGAGGCTCTTCTGGAGATGGGCAGCTGACTTTTGCCAGTCCCCTGTAAAGAAAGAAAAATCTTGTTCCAGAAAAGAACCGCAATCAACTGTGGCTGAACATTTTCACGGTGAAGAAAGCTAAATGGAAGGGAGAGTTGCTTCAGTTGAAAGACTAAGAGATAACCAACCAGATGAGGCCAGGGTCATAACCATCACACAAGGCAAAATTGTTCCCCAGAGCCAAAAATGAAGACACATGCCATACCTAAAGCAGCATAGGCCTGGGCCAGGTCATCCTCAATTTCTCCCACCACACTGTGTTCCGCAGGCAGGAAGCTCTCAGCATCATACCGGCACCCCAACAACAGCTGAATGGCTTGCTCTATCAATTCAAAGGAAAGTGGCCTCATTATAGACCCAAACCCAGCCCTAGAAATGAGAACACAGCTCTTAAATTCTATATTAGTCAGGCTGAATGTGGAAACTTCACTTTGTCTCCTTGGGTTGTGACCAACCCACAATGTTTGTTCCAATAAAGCTTTTGTGCCCTTATGTTTTCTCTTTCAATACAAAGAGGTGCTGGGTGAGGGCTCCCCACGTTTACTGAGTTTCTACTTGCGGTCATTATTTCCCTTGACTTGGAAAGCTAAGCTAAAGGTCAACTTTCATAAAGTAGGGTAAATAAATTCCCATGACATCAAGCTCTAAGGCAGACTTTTCAAGGGTGACGAGGGATTCTAAAACTCCTTCTCTGAAAAAAGCAGGATACTTTTATCCATTGGGCACAGGCCCCATTGCTCTCTAGAAGACAGATGAGGCTCTAATGAGGGCAGAACAATCTCTCTAGGAAATTAGGTCATTTGGCCTCGGAATTAAAATAAATGACACTGAATTTCTTGATATCCACAAAGATCATGGATCTCAAGGATAACACTTTAGTTATATGGGATACTCTAACTTAGCTATCTGATGCATGAAAACTATGGCTTAAATCATCTCCGCTGGTTTCAAGGACACCACAGAAATTGAGCTGGTTAGGGTTTGGTCTCCTTGGCCTACACAGCCATCTTGTGGCTGTCATGGGGATAATTAAATTTAATTCTTAAGTCAATTCTTAGTATCCTTGAGTCCAAGGTGATATCTGAATGAATAAAAGAGAAGGGGCTGGAGGACCAAAGCAAGGAGCCAGTCTCACCTAGTTTACCATTTTTGAGAAGCTTCTGGGCCATCTTAATCTGCTGCTGAAGATCCTGTAACTGAGAGACTAGGCGATCCCTGCTCACTGCTTCTGTACAAGATGTGTTGCCGCAGCTCAGCACGTCATCTCCCTGTGGAAGTCAGTTTTATCTTTATTTCTATACCAGAGTCGGTTAGCAATACTGACATATGCTTATATCATAAGGTCACTCCATAGCTTCTAACCTTATAAGGGGAAAGAGACTCCTGTGATAATATAACCTGACCAAAGCCTGATTGAATCTGGTTTGACAGCAGCAATTCTAATGAAAGCAGCAACCAATTTCCCCGAGATTTAATTTTTACAACCAAAATTAAACTGGTACAGTTCACGATTTTTTCCAGCTCTATATCCCTTCTTGCATCTCTCTTTGGGGCCAGGACTTTGACAGACACATTTCTAGTGGTTCTGAAAAAGCCATGAGAAAACTAATAGGAAAAGATGCTAGGTGAGGCCTCCCCCCATTTAACTTTGGGTTTGTAACTTTAGCTTTCCAACAAACCAGCTCTACATTCCACTTACAGTTCCCCTAAGAATACTGTATTCCCTGGCAGAAGAGAAAATCACTGAGATAGATATTTGCTGTTTATTAAATGCCAGTATCTATGCCCTCATTTGCCAATAGCAACCTGATTTCTCCTGAGGATCCTCTCCCACCCTCCCATAGTCAAGTGCTGGTAGCTGAGGGGGTGAACATGTGGCTCAGATCTGGCCTATTCCTCTGGCCCAAATGGCTGGAAGAAAACTATTTGCTTTCATTTTCCTCTAGCCACAAGTATCTGGTCATTGAAATTCAAGAACAGTTTTGCGCAGACCGCTGTTAGACCAGAGCATGTTTTTGGCCATCTTGCCACAAGAGGGAAGTCTGTCTGAGGATGGGGCTAACAGAGAAAATGGAGCTGAGGGAGGTAGAGAGAAAAGTTGGGTCTTGGTGATATTACGAGCCCTTGCATCAAATTGTAACTGAAGTACTCCTATCTTAGGACCTTTTAGTGATTTACTTGAGCAAATAAATTCCCAGTCTTTTTTTCCCCGCTTAAGCCAGTTTACGTGGGAATTTCTGTTATTTGCTCTTGCAAATTTTTCTCTTGAAAAATTATTAAGTCTAACCTTTCCCTGTGTTTCCTGCAGAGAGTAAATCAATGAGTGAGGAAGGTGGGATGAAAGGAAAGAGAGAGTACAGCTCTCAGCACCTATAAGCCCAGATGGCTTCTTCCTAAAGATTTATGGCCTTTGCCTGGATAACTGAACTCCAGGAGAAATCAGGAAGAGAAGGGAGAAGAGAGATTCACCTGCATGAGTGTTCTGCAACGGTTACAACAGAATGCTTCCCACTTGGACCCTGTAGTGGTTCTGTGCTTCTCATTTTGACAAGCTGGACAATTGCAGTCAAAGAAATACTGAGATCTCAGCTTCTGTTGCCTTTCAGCAGCACCCATCCTGCTCTCGTGAGGCCCTGCAGTGAGATCACACTTGGCCAATATTTAAAGCAAGAGAGAGTCAAGCATTACGTTAAAAAATTCAGCTTAGGAGAGGGTCTGGTCAGTTATTCATCATGTTACAGGTACCCTTTTACTCAAACATTTGTGGAACTAGATATAGAAATAAACTTCCAAGTTGTAGGAACAGGCAGAAAAAGAAGCTGAAAAGTTGTTCCTAACTCATTTTCAGAATACAAAGTTTGTGGGAATTAAGCAGTGGCATACATGATAGTTTAGACAACAGGGCCCAGTAAGAAGGCTTTTTTTCCCTCCTAAGTGTGCACTGCCTCTTCTAAGAAACAAACACTGGACAGGTGAAGGCACCTGCCCAGTTGTTTGCTCATTCTAATTCACCCTGTCCTTTTCTGCTGGACAAGAGAAGGCAGTAGCGAGGAAGGATGGCTCACCATAGCAGTGGAGAATCTCTTGCCCTTTTCCAATTTGCACTGATGCCCGAACGGTGGCGACAGTGCTAATGAAGGACACGCTGGTGTTGGGGCTGCAGGAATGGTTCAGAAGGCTGACAACAGGGAAGATGCCTGTGGCAAGGCGAACCTGCTTGCTGTTGGTAATGATGTTCTCTTTAGATTCTGAAAATGCAAGAAGAAAAAGGAAAAATGTGTCAGGACATTAGTCCTGGTCTCACCATCCATTCCTCAGGAGATGAGCTGGGCAATTGGGCCTGCAGCCCATCTGAGTCACAGCCCCACAGCCGGATCCATTATAAATCAGATGGAACATGACTCACAACAAACTCTGGTCCCCAGGAAGCAAAGCAAATGAACACACAAAAAGTCCACCAGAATCCTAGAACCTAACAATTGTGTCTCAATACCACAAAAAAACAAAGATTAAAATTTATAAAAAATAATAAAAAAGGAATTATCAGTAGAGAGCTTTCTAGGCAGACAGTTTCATAACGTTCTTAAGGACACAGAAACCAGAGTATCTGCTGAGGTTATTTTCCAAAGATTTTTATAGTTTAAGTTCTTTTGTTTATCTGGTCTTTGGTTGGTTAACAGAACAAGTAATCTAATTACTACTCCAAACTAAACAGGATTATATATTTAACAAAATCAATAGTTCTTGTGCTTACCTGCTCGTTCTGTCCTTTGTCTCGACTTTATGGAAAATCAGTAAGCAGTATTTCTTATTGAAAAAAAAAAAACTCAACTCTGGACTAGCTTTATTTAAGATAGTCTCATGTCCTAAACAATCTCTTATTTGAAACACAATTAACCAGCAATTTATCTATGTGATTGAATATTAGGAAGGAAAAAAAAGCCTTCTAAGCAGCGAGGCTATTTTTGCACCACAGCTCATTCACTTATCTTCACATGTGAGTTCTTTTACTCTTTTGCAGGCCTACTTGCTCTTATTTTAGCCACAGTTCTAACTGGCTTGGTTATTCAGTTTCTCAGCCCACAAGAGTCCAGAAACTGAATAAGAAACAGGTGATAGGCTGGAGAAGGAGGCAAAAAACTTATACAAGAATAACAACAGCCTTAGAATAAACAAAAACACTGCACTACTCAAATTTTACTACAACTACAACATTTCACTTAACCAGAGGTTCCTAAGACTGATAGTATATCTGCATGGGTTTTTGTAATAGCTATACATATCTCAGCAACATGCACAACAGAGATAAGCTGGAGCATCCAGAAAGGCTTAAATTGTGTTCAGTGGCCTTGGTTATATGAGGAAATTGTATTTCCAGCAAAACTGGATAAATATGAAAGATATTGGTACTTAAAAGGAAACTTTCAGTTTTCTGGAAAACTGAAAAAGCATCAGATAATTGTGGTATCGCTGTAGATGCAAAGAATCTCAATACACTAATTTCTAAAGAAATAATGTAGTCTCGGTACAAAGATAACGAATAGAGAAAATATCATGAACTATCATGTGAAAATGTTCTAGAAAGGAAAACATGAAATATATGAATAATATTGTCTCTCTGAAGACCATTCTATTATCGTTGCTATGGAGGACAAGAATAGAATATATAAAATTCACAGAGAATCCAAATGACTCAATTTTAGTCAACAATTCTACAAATTGTATTGAAATCTTTCATCAGAGCTTCTCCTAAGTGCTTAACAGATTTTAGTTTCCTCCCCCTCTTTGTCTAATGTCTCCCTTCTGGTATACGTGCTAATGAGCAGTGAAAATGCTAAAAGGTAGGCAGCAGGAAGGAGCAGTACAGGGCACGAACAGTTTGTGGTCTGAATAATCAGGCTCCGCATAATTAAAAGTTGACTTGCATTCCCAACTACTGATAACTGGCAATTTATATTAGAACAGCTGCTAAGATTTTCCCAGAAAAAATCATCACAATACAGTGAGTAATGTCAGCTTCGTGAATTATTTATAGGTTATCTTCTAACAGAAGTAGGCCTAGGAACTGAATGGGGTATATCAGAGTTAAGTCTTTAATTATTTCTAAAAAATTAAGTATTGATTTAAAAAAAATATTCAATATTTTGCATTAGTCATCTATTAGTAGAGATAATAGAAAGTGAGAGTATGTATGTATGCACCTTATCAATCAAATTTAATGTGACATTTTATGCATAAAAAAGAGGGAACAGTTTTTTGTTTTTACCAAAAGTGTACTTTGCCAATATCCCAAGTGCATTTAAAATGGGATTCAAGTAAAGAAAAAAAGATTTATTCACAATACTTCCAGAATATATCTATTCTGGTAGATATTTTACAAAACAAGAAATCTGTGTGTATATCAAATGATCAAAGACCCAAACTGAAGGTAGATGTCTTGGTTGTTGAAGAGTGAAAGCAAAGGGTAGTGAATTGATCTGAACCTACACAGAACCTCACTAAGCCTTGTTATGACATGAATCCAGATACATCATGTGCATTCCCACTGAGATAGAACCACACAAACTAAGGTCTAGAATATTATCAGTGGCTAATTCTGTCCCTTAAGTACCAAAGACAGATTTCTGAGGAACTTTGATTAAATAGGATTTTTTCAAAGATAATAACATACATTTTTACGAGTTTTTGTCAAAGTCTATCCTAGTTAACACTTTAATCCTTCTTCTGTGCTACTAATGAAACAGCTGCTAATGAAATTCAATGAGAATACTAAATTAGGAGTTGTTGGAACCCCAAAGAAATATTAAAAAGGGATATGACAAGATTAGAAATATGAGCAGACTAAAACAAAATTAGATTAAAATAAAAAATGAAAGTGAACATTGCTGGCGGGCGTGTAACTGGTAGAACTTTCCTGGAGGGAAATTTTGCAATATGGATCAAGTGCCTTAAAAATATTCATATAAAAAATGTTTGAATCGTTTGAATTATTTTTATTATTTAAAAAAACAAATTAAAATTCCAAAAGGAACACATAGTAGTCAGAAAAAATTTTAAACTGAAAATTATAGAGAAAATAATAGTCAAGTACAAGCCTATCATCCAGGTATATCATATTGGTACATTTTCCTGCAGTCTTCTTTCTAGCCTACCTATGGAAATTTTGACATAATTGGCAATATGGAGCACAGAGTGATTTGTAAGTTACTTCTTTTCAGTTAATATACCTTGGCCATTTCCTTACATCCTAACTTAAAATGCATATAATAATAAAAACAACCACCAAACCAACAAAGCAATGTTGCAATTCTGATAGGCAAAAATGGTTATCTTGTTTCAATTACTAGAGAAAGGTCAGACCAGACCACCTTCATTATTTCTGTTAAAATGCTTGCTTATGTACATTTTTAATAGCTTTACTAAGATATAATTTATCTACCATAAGATCACCTATTTTAAGTGTACTAATTCAATGGATTTTTTTGAAATTTATATAACTTGTGCAATCATTATCATAATCCAGTTTTAGAACATTTTCATCACTATGGATATTTTGAAAAGATTTTAAGAGTTGTATAGATGCTAGCAACATTCTCTCATTTTGTCATTCAAATTTTAATTTTTGATTATGAGTTTCTGGAGATAGAGAGAGTTAAAACAGCAACTATTTCATTCACTTACAATGCTGTGCGCCAGCAACTGCCTGAGCTCAGCTGAACGTTTTTCTGCTGGTTTTGCCTGAGATTACTCTTACGATTGCGTTCATTTGGCACATGGTTTTTTATCCTCAAGGAGGTTAGCCGGGCTTGTTCAGATGCCCACATTATCATTTTAAGATGACAATGGAAGCTGCAAGGTCTCTTACAGCTAAGATTCAGAAATCACATAAGGTCACTTATACTGCATTCCATTGGTCAAAGTAAGTTACAGGGCTAGCCCAGATTCAAGGGTAGGGGAAAGATTACCCCACCTCTTCATGGGAGAAAAAGCAATGTCAAGTTGCAAAGGGACAAACATACAGGGATGGGAGAAATCGTTGGGGTCATTTTTGTAACTAATCTTCCCCAGAAGCCTGGAGGTTCATCCAGTCCTCTCTTTTATCTTTATGAGAATACTGAGACACTCAGACATTAAGCGACCTGACCAAGTTCATACTGAGAGTTAGTGGTACATCCGGAATGGCAACTCAGTCCAATGTTTTAATTTCTTCAAGCATCTTTCACCTATATTCTCTATATTCTTTACTGATTATAGTGTTTTGAAATTTGGTATTCAGGTTAAATGTAGCTATCTTTTAATTTCCTAAATTTGGTTTTATATACTTTAGAAAGCTTCTCTCACCCTAAGACTATATAAATGTTCACTCATCTTTTTCTAGATATTTTGTGGCTTAATTTAAAAATATTTAAATAAGAATCTAATACTTTTGAGGGCTATCATATCAGTACCATACTGTTTTTAATTATTGTAATTCATAGCTGATATGAAATCTGATAGTACCAAGCCCCTTCAATACTCTTTAAAACAAAATGGCTATTCTCATCCCCTTTTTCAGGATGAACTTTAGAATCATTGTCAAATTCCAAGAAAAATCTAATTGTGATTCTGTCTGAAACTGCATTAGACTGACTAGGTTAATGTGGGGAAACTGCCATTTTTATAGTTTTCAGTCTTTCCATCTAAGAACATGGCACGTCTCCACATTTATCCAAGCCTTCTTTCATATCCCTCCAAATTAAAATACTCTTGCACTTCTGGGAAAAAAAAACCCTACTTGGTCATATTATTATTCCTTTAATAAACTGCTGGATGTGATATGGCAGGGATTTACTCAGGGTTTATATATCTATAGTTACAAGTGAGATTGGTCTATAGCTTTTATTCTTGGCTTTGCAAAATGAATGGAAGAGAGTTCTAGGTTCCCCCATGCCTTGGCACAGTTTATATTGCATAAAATGGATCTGCCTTTGAAAGATTTTTTTCTTTTCTTCTTTATTTTTTAAAAACGTGGCTAAATATGCTCCTTAAAAGTTTCAAAGAACAAGCATGGAAAAGAGTAGATCTGGCTTGTTTTTCTGGAAATATTTTGGTAATTTAAAACATTTCTTCTACAATTACTAGATTTTTGAAGTTATTTTCTCCTGGAAAAATTTAGGCAATCTACATTTTTCTGTAAAGTTGTTTACTTAATATTTTCAAATTCAATAGTTTAAAATTATATTGTTTTCTAAAAAGTTAAAAATGAATTTATATGATTGGCTCTATCTCCTTCATTGTTCTTAATTTTGTGGAATTTTTTCCAACCTAGAACTCTCTTCCATTCATTTTGCAAAGCCAGAGTACAATTTAACAGTATTTATTTTTATCATGGTGACATTAGTTAACGAAATACAGTAAGTTTTTTATTTTTGTATAAGAAATTCTCTGCACTGAAATATATCAAACTTAGCTCTCAGAAACATAGAGATTGTACAGTAAATACAGTAAATACTGTGCCAAGGCAC